ACATTCTCTGTCTCTACCAATAAAATGAAATCTCTAATCTTGCACGATTTTACCCACCCCTGGTACAGATAGGGAAAATGTCACTCTTGGTTATCTTTGCATATATCATGTCATATCTCGTAAGAGCTGGGACTTCCAAATATCATATAAAATTGGGATCATATATTACTGGTTTAACAAATAACAAAAAAGGTGTTTTGAGAAATGAATTCATCTATTAATGAATGGTATACAGCAAGGCGACCTGATAGCATTAGAAAGAAAAAAAGAAGCGTGAAATATGGGGCAAAACGTATTATCAAAATTTAAATTGTATGTAAAGTGAAATGCTTCAATATTATTTAAATAACTTAGGAGCAACTATACCCTAGAATTCGAAGTAGTTAAATGAACGGAATAATGACTTCAAATTTCCCAGTCACATTTAATTACGCCATCAACGGTTATGGTTTTGCGTACTTTGTTTTTAAACCTTCGTGCAGTGATGGCAGTGAATGTAAATGTTTCATCCCACTACGCTCTTTGTGCACTACTTTAAAGAAATGAACGTTACAAATGAACAAACAAATAAATAAATAAATAAATAAGTAAACGATTGGATGAATATACACCTGGCATGTATATATGTGTACACTAACAACCATTCTGATAAATGACTTTTATGGCAACAATTGATCGACTTATAGACTTTAAATTAAATTATAGCATAATGTACTCTTGACCGTCTAAAAATTACTCCACTTCTTGTTTAATCGGCAAAATGTCCTATTTGTAAAGATAGGAAGACATCTTAGGCAATCATCTCATCCATGATTGTAAAGATTTGATTTTTAAATGTTGGAGTAGATAACTTTCCCAACGTACAAGAAATCTTCGATCAATATGTAAAAAAGCACTTGTTGGCTTGAAAAGTAATTACAAAGTGCTTGCAAAATATGCAATTTTCTTGAAATCCCACATCAAAAATTTGAGCGAATTTTTACATTGCTATCTTGTACGTAAAGAAATAATGGGTCGTATTTTTATGACACTTTCCTGAGGTCGAGAACTTGAAACTAGCGTGAAGGCAATGAAATTTATTTTTTGCATAAACCCTAATAATAATAAAACAAAAAGAAAATGTTTCGTCGTCAAAATAACGGTAATGGAAAGTCTCAAATACACTCGCTATGGTTTCACAGTGACCAAAACGTTGACGTTGATAATACTGTTTTCAAATAATAAGTTAAAGGGTATAGGTCGTTCCATGGCATGCATATTTTATAGCTGTATTTTGTTTTCGATCTTTCCAGACAAATTTAGGTACAAATTGTACAAATCTCACAACAGTGGAAACAAACGTGTGAATGAAATCTTTCGATAAAAGAGGATATTTCATTCACAGGGAAGATGAGTCCGAGATTCATATGAATATCGGAAATTAAAACGCTAACTCTAAGGTAGTTCCTTGAATTACCCTGTCTTTTATCGTACTTCATTAAATCTTGTACAGATGCACAAAAACAATAAATAGTGAAAAGACTGGGAATCCAGGAGACCAGCTCTCCGGGTTTTCACACTCATGTTTCCGTAATTGCATGGACACCCCAATGGACACACACACACACACACACACACATTGAAAAGACTTCGAAAAATTATGATGATTTGCAGTTGCACATGCTAGATACCTCCATTTGTTTTACAGCAGCTGGCTGTTTAAAGCTTGTTTTGGAAAACTTGGATGGCAATTCGCGGTAAAAACACGGATGCAGCAACTTGAAGTGGTAAATGCATTGTTATTATGCATTGTATGTGTCGCTTTAACTAGATATTCCGTTCCAGAAGATCAACATTCCAACCAGCTATAAACACATGTACAATATTTAGGTGTTTTTGCTGTTGTATGAAGTATGTCCAGACAATAAAATTGCTTAATGCTCAATAAATCAAATACAATATTTAACCACATTATTTAGTCAATCATACATAATACCAATTACGATATATATGAGTTCTTTTTGATATACTAACATTTAATGTAATTTAAATATCTGTACAAAACGGCAGTAATGAAATTTCCCTTTTCGTTTTTAGCGTGCGAGGAATCGTGTGTAACAGTAAAGTAATCACCAAATGCCAAGCGTTGTACTTGTATGAGTTTCTCTCTTTGGTTAGGAGATAAGTTTTAACCATCGCGTGAATCACTAACATTTATGGATACCCGATGTATTTGAGTGGGTGGTCTATTTCATCCATCTTTTGCCTATTATTTATTTACTCACCATAAATTAGTGCTCCCGCCAACGTTCACATGGATACACTATCGTCCGATCGCATGGTTTCGTACCCGATTTGAAACCTCGTTCTCACGAACCAATTCGGATTTATATTCACTCGAACATTATAGTCGAACAAGAAGTTCTAAGCCAGAAAATATGTTTCAAATAAAAGAAAGGGAGCTTTTTTGTTCATGTTCCAAAAGTGGTGGATACCACGTATTTTATAATTTGATCGTGTATTAAATATATACAAGTTAAAATTGTTATCGCAAGGAGCATAAAGCACGTCTTCACTGACTGAACCATGCAGCACCTCTACCTTATCGATTAAATATTGAACCCGGGCATGAATAAAGTAAAGTTTTTTTTCTGATATACAAGTTATCTTGTAAGGATACTCAGATAGTTATACGGAAACAGTTATCTGAGGGATACGTAACCTCAGGTATGACATCTTGAACGTTCAAGGAATAATGTTGCAGTTGTTTGCGGAGAGAGGGGTGAACAGATACGAAACCACGCGAGTGGTGCATGCGACGATGTAGTTTTGTAGTAACTTTAAAATCAACTAACTGTCACTGTAAGTTGTCATTGACATTTGTGTTTGTGGCCTGTTTTGTCAGCGTGTTTGTCGTGTTGATAGTTCCAATATAACAGTTTGTAATAGTGAGCTGATATCAGTATTGCAACTTTCTTAGCGAAACAATGAGCTTAGCCTACTATTATATCGCATTTCTGCAGTTTGGGTGGATTTTTCGTTCACAGTAACTCTGCCAATGTCGTACATATTCATGTCACCAGTGTTGTCACTGTCATCCATGCCATCCATGTACATATCATTAATCTTTTCATTGCCATACATGTGTCACACTTGTCACAAACTTATTCACAAGTATATTTTCATCACGGGACTTAGAATAATGACACAAAATTGCTAAAATCTGATTAGCATAGTGAAATGAAAGTGAATGAGCTGAACAAATATACGTACAAATATGGTGTTCCTGCAAAAAGCAAAAGTAGAAACAATTACTAGTATGTAGTGACATTATTACCAAGACATGGAGCGATGACAGTGAAATATCTAGTGATGAAAGTGGCTGTGCGGACAGTGCTTCAGATTCACTGGATCATCTGCAATAGAGGATGAAGTAAGTCGATGATTCACTCAGGCTGGTGACTATCTGTGACACGATCTGGACGGACAACTACGACGTTGAAAACTCGCATGTTTTATGATTTAATCCGACTTTTTAATTAAAAGTTGTTTCTTGTTGCATTTAAAAAAGTCGAATAATTATCAGATAGAAATTCAAAAACATTAAACTAGAAAAATTCTATAAAACGCATTGATGCATTTTTATATGGCACACGTATGATGTCATATTGTATTAGGACAGTGGTGGGCTGGGGTGTGTCAAAATATAGGTCCACGGTTACTAAAAAAAGATAGATCAAACTCCCCTTCCCACAGATGTTTATGCTCGCAACCTACCGCAGTGGGAAGATCACAAATGAATTGTTTACAAGAACAATTTCGGGTACCCCTAATTTATGTTTGACATTACATTGACTTATATCGCATTACATTACATTACATTACATCTGTTCAGTGGAATTTGTCTTATACACATTTAAATCCTAATCACACTCTAACACCCTGCTAACTCCATGCTCCATGAAATAATGAATATATTTCAAATGTTTTGGATACGTATAGATACATATATAAGTTACTTCTTACCGATAGACACCCGCTGCGTTATAACTCGGTGTACTACTTAGTTAACAACTATTTGCTCACATGACCCATGCGGTAATCGGCGTCGGTGACCTAGGGTTAATTCCCGTTAATTATTTCCTACTAAGACATTTGTAACATGCACCGAATAAAGAACTCTCAGAACGATATAAATACATAGTTACTTAGGACAACGATTACCAAATATTACTTACTACTGTAAAACATGTTTATTATAAATAGCTACATGCTATTTTAGCAAATTTTACTCCATGCATGAATTAACTGAATCTTAATTTAGCTAAAGTGTCAACAATCTCCTTGTGAGAATATACTTTATTTTGAATTAGTGACATCCTGAATTAGCGTAATTACAGATTAGCTAAATTAGCTAAAATAACACGCTGAATACGGGATATGTATATAGTTTTATTTTATGGACGATTTATTTGACATATACCTAAACGCTTTTCCATTGTCGTTATTTTTTACGTGACGGGTGATATCGCCCAGTCTGAGAATTATTTGTTGTCTAAGATTACGTGAACTACTCCCCTCGTTTTGTCCCATCTGACATGAGCCACGAGTCGTCGAATGCACCCGACACTGTGTCGAGCAGTATACAATGTTTCTTGTCATATACAATTGTGTTTTTGCATAAGTTTGACTTTTATTGTTTTTTGTCAAATCGCATTTGCAGCGGAGGGCCCGGGTGGGCTTGGTAGGGTTAATTTTATAATTTAATGCCTTGTTCATTTCACGATATTAATATACCTCAAGGATATATAAATCCTTGTTTACATATAATCATGGAGCTCTGTGATATAATTTATACCTAATGTCGTGTACAAGTTCGTTGTTTCACAAGACTATTCACCGAACATCTACGAGAAATTGTGAGCGGGCCGTCGCACATGTTTGTGCATTTAACCCCGGCATTTTACAAACTTCCCGATCTTCCCTGTGAACTCTTAAACTTGGTACATTCCATAATCAAGATGGCGGCCTCACGGAAAGTACGTATGCAAGGTCTTCCCGGTACACCGACACACATGGACAAACTCACTACACAAGGTGCATCTATGGAGGACTCGTCGGACAGCGAGGGCGAGGTGGAGCCTTCTAAGCAGTTTACGAGGCGAGTGTCCACATCGAAGCAATTACAAAATAAGGTAAGACCACGGAGTTGTAGCCGCCAGCAGCGACTGAGTACTGAGCGTTTGTTTTGAAACACACAATTGAGTCGCAGCGTACGTACGTTTGTACTCGAAGCTACAGTCTCACAAGAGTTTTTTAACGGGTGAAATATACTGCCTTGTTCAATTAAAACATTGAACCTATTCATTTATTTAAATCCGTGATCTGTATATTTTTTCATGGTTTGATGAAATCACTCTTCCTCGTTGCTTCGTCGTATCAGCCGCTGAAACTAGCATCGAGTGATCTATTAACTTCTCTATCGGACGCACATCCTTGTTTCAGGTGGACTTGCGTTCAACAACTGTCATCCTTTGTACACAAATGTTTATAGATAAATAAAATAATAAAAAAAAATGGAACGAACATGATCATCAGCTGTAGAAAATATCAAGTGTATTCTCTTGGTCGATGGGTTTGCCGGGAGGGAATATAAATAGCCGCTTAGTGAGTGAAGATCGTCTTTCAACGTACGTATCGAATTTACCGCCGAATGATATTAGCTTTTCAGTGCTACGAATTTACACAGTGAAATCACGCTGTGAATGATATAATATCTAATTATTCTTATATAACACAACTCTCTCTCTGATGACTTTAATTTAGAATTGTGGGAATAAATAACAGTTTACACTGGAACAGTGATGCCTATATATAGACTTAATATTTACCGACCTGATATTGGTGGCCGATAGTCTGTGATCCTGAATGAGCGAGTTTGTTTATTTACTCTGAGCTTCATCACATTGATCTATGATGTTGGTGTTGACAGACAGTGGGGGGACTGTGATTACACCAATATAGTATACTGTAAAACACTTTATTTTTGCTATTTTCGCTGAAGGAGTGATTCAGTGAAAATAACATCACGTGAATATTCTTCTTTTTCTGTATTTTACATTTAACTCGTCAAAAAATCAGTGAAAATAAAATCCATACAAAACACCCAAAAAGTCTTTTCAGCGAAAATTGATTCCAGCTAAAATAAAGTATTTTACAGTAATAGACTAGAATAGGATAGAATATTCAACTCAAAAAAATGCAATGATAATGTAGCGTCTAGGGTGAAAAAACAATACAACTCACATGGATTAATTAATTGTCTATTGTAATGAAGCTAGAAAAAAAAAAATTAATGTATAGAAATATAACATTATAGTTTGTTGGATTATAAAATTGTATCCATAAACTTTACCAGACTAACAATGAATCCAGTATTATTTTATCAAACATTTCCTGTTTCACTACTTGTGAAATTTTTGTTTACGTCTAAGCACTTACATTTAAATTGCATTAATTTCATTGCCTGCAAGTGTGGTCAGTACAAGAAGTACATAATTCTGTGATCTGGAGATATTCTTTGATAGCGTAACCTTAAAATTAGTGGTGTATTGGCAGAAATTCTGAATTTGGTGATTTGGTGGTTTTATGAGTGGTATTTACATGTGTATCATCAGATTCAAATATGGTTCATTTTTGTATGTTGCTTTAAATTTAATATACATATATATATTTAATTTATTGTTTTTCTTTTTCTTTTTGAAGGGTTGGACGATAGATATTATTAGTGGATATTTTAAGTTTTGAAATTTACTGCATCAAATACAGTAATATAGTAAGCTAAGTTATTTCGGATTAAATACTTTTTTTCAAATCTCTGCTTAAATTTGATCATCTTCGCAAAATTTCAATAATACATGTAATTGGGTGACTTCCTAGTTAGGTTTTCTTGCAATTGTTTCACCTGTTAATTATGATTATGAAATACTTTGTTTATGGACATTTTTTTAAATCTCACCACATTGATTTGTGCAACTTGAAAGTACTAGCATCTTGTACGTTGCAATTGGCAAAACTGTACTCCAACATGGTTAATTACTATCCCCTTTTGTAACAAATTGCTGAGTCAGCATTGAGTGGTGCGATCTTAGTATCAACATTTTTAGGAGTGATGCAAGTTTATTTAACTTGCACCTCCACTTGCAACTGATATATCTGCATTATATGAGTTCAATCTTTGTAAGGTCTGTGTTTAGATGGGAATAATAGTTTATTTTTTAGGAGGTCCAAAAGTTCACAAAGTTCTTCAGATTTGTATGGACCAGGATCAGCAGTAAACAGAATTCAAATAACACAAATAATTTTCTATATGAATGAATGCAAAGAGCAATCCACTGTCACTAGATGTCTAATTTCCACTCT